ATCTTGTTCGAAATTTTCTTCGTTCAAACGAACATATTTATTTTATATACTAGACTATATAATTTCTGTATTCCGTCTACCCATTCTGCTTCTTATCTCGTTCATATATAGAATGAATGCTTAGCCATGTAGAAACACAATTGTTATATATGCTCATTGCCATGGTGACCATACACTTCATTTTCAGTAGAACCCTTTAAAATCCAACTTGGTGTTTCGTCAAATTGCACCGATGAAATCCCTAAAAATTAACAGAGAACACAGTTCCCACCTAATAGCATTTATATGTCAAAAATAAAATATGTGCTACCAGTAGTTCAATTACGACAAATAATTACCCTTGATCATGTAGAAATTTGTTATCATGAGTGTAAAATTCGGCTAGAACAAGAACAAGTCTTTTGTGTTAAACTTGAAACTGAAAGTATCTTTTAACAGCAGACACACGAAATGGTTTGCAATTTTAGCACAAACTGCACTACAGGCGAGTGTTCTGACGATGTAAATGATATCAACACATTGGATTCCAAAGACAAAAGTATAATTTTAACTGAATCCGGTTTATTGCCAAAGAAATTTACTGATGTTTATATATGTTCAACCAATTTAATCCAACTAATTACATTTCTCTTCTTATGCCCCTTATCTACTCAAATTAGTAAGTCAGCTTTATTGTTTTGTTGCCTCATCCTTTTAACAGTACATTTTATAGTTCATTGACCAACAGTGTTCCTAAACTGTGTTTTTATATTGTGCCTTAATTTTAGATTTGTTCTCTTTCACAAGTATTTCTCCTTTTTTTCTTCAATGTAAGCTTTCATACGGTATGTATCACAATCATCAACTGGAAACAAACTTAGACATAAGAGATTTGCTCAAAATCTTCCTAGGATGCTGTCAAAGGTATGAAGATGAAGAGCACTCTTTGTTTACCAACAGCTGTGGCCTAACATGCACCTGTTGATTTTGTGTAAGGTTTTCATGACATTCAGGAACCACTTGATGTTGCGTCTTTTCAGACTCGAGCTGACTTGTTCGTTGATACTTTGCCCTCTATCTTTTTAACTGTAAAAAATTCAGTTATGCCAGTATGATGATTATATATTATCTGTTTATCGTTCTTTAACTGGTCTTTTCCCCCTCCCTAAGACAGTTTTACGCTTCACGAAAGCAAGCTTGAAAACGTCTCCAATCGGAACTACTCGGCCTTTTCTGTTCAACGAAGAAATAAACTCGTATGTATTAGGCGGTTAAATCGCACTATTTTATAAATCACGTGACGATATTTGACATATCACATGATATGAAAATGGGCGATCGAGACAGAAATTTACGCATGTCATAAGAAATTCTGTTAGTGAACTGAACGATGAAAAAACTCCCAACTCAAAATGGTATGAAATGAATGGCCTCAACACCGGCATCAGAACTACGTTTTAAATTGACACCTAAAAGAGAGCCAGTGATATCATCTCTTGTTCACCCAATTGAGAAGTTAATACTTTTAAGTTGATTGATTGATTAATTGGTGTTTGTTTTACGCAGCATCTTTGAGACGTTTCCTTCGAATTCCACAACATTTTGTTCACATAAAGGACAATGAAATTTAGTCTGCCACGGGAAAATACGGGTTCGTTTCATATTAACCTTACCATTCATACACAGCGGTCTTTTGGATACTAATTATTGACACTGTTGATCATCTTATAGTGTACTTTTATATTGCCACTGTTGATTATCTTATAGTGTACTTTAATACTTGCACTGTTTAGTCTCTTTATGGTGATGTCCATTTCACGTGGTATGGTACTTATACATCCCGTCATTCTGTGTTAGTGCTTTTGTACAATTTAAGTGTTCTTTTCATTCGTTTTTGCTGGTGTGCTTCGTTTATATGCCTTTATGTTTCTCTTTATTTATATATTTGTATTTGCTGTGGTGACTGCTGTATCTTCTATTTTTGACATGTATATCCATAAAATTGAGATTGGATTGATTGATTGTTGGTTGCTTAACGTCCAGTGGCAAATATTTCATGCATATTCAGGACGAGAACAAGTTCACAATAAATACAATATGTAGGTTCTGTAATAGGTTAAGGGATTAAGGTAGGAGAAATTCAGACTGCCACGGGAAATGAGGGTATATTGGATAGGGACAGAAATTTAGCCTTGCAACAGGTAACCTACGGACCCCTCAAAGAGTTGTTGCAAGGGTTCTTAACGTGCAAAGAGCGTGGCACTCTCTTTACACGAGGCATCGGATTTAACGTCCCCATTCTGACCGGACGTGGCTGCAAATTTGTACATCCCGCACAGCCAAACGGACGCCCCACTTTAGCACGGGTTTTACTGCCGGTCGGAGGAAGACCAATGGTGACCATACTTATATTCCCCAGTCACCCTTGGGGGGTTGAGATTGGAAATATGTCAAAGAGACAACAACTCGACCAAAGAGCAAACAACAGCCGAAGGCCACCAATGGGTCTTCAATACAGCGAGAAATTTCCGTACCCGGATGCGTATTTCAGTTGGTCCCTTTACAAAAATGTATACTAGTTCAGTGATAGTGACAGTCAAACTAAACTCCGAAATATACACAAGAAACTAAAATTTAAAATCATACAAGACTTATAAAGGTCGGAGGCTCCTGAATTGGGACAAGCGCAACAATGCGGCAGGGGGGTAAACATTTTTTTAAGATCTCAACCCTCCCCCGATACCTCTAGCAAATGTAGAAAAAGCAAACGCACAGTAAAACTCAGTTCTCTATGTTTTGTTCACACATTGTCAATATAAAGGAATTTTGTGCGACTGCCATACAAGTGAGAGGCTTCGTCTTTCAATGGTGGACTTCCCATATTGAATTTTCCTCGGGGTTATTATACTTTTAGGATATAGACAGATATTTACAATAACAAAAAGCCATCTTTCTTAAGCAAGGGTTCTTTAAGTGCAAAAGGCGTGGCACTGTCTTTCTAAACACGTGGGCATAGGAGTTAACGTCCCTAATCTGACCGCACATTGTCGAGTTCTTGTAAATGCCGCACATCCTCACTATTGCGAGGGTTTAACAGCCGGTCTGAGACAAATAGTGACCAAATTTTTTTTTCTTTAGTATTTTCTGAAAGAACTAAAAACACATTGCTTTTCGAACATATTCCCAAAATATGCAATCTTATCGACACCTGAAAATGATTTTTTACGAAATATTGTGACAAATGGTGTCCGATTTTGTCCATCCTGTTACTTTTTTCAAATGTCAGAAAACATGATATTTAAAAAGAATATATCTAATCAAAGTATGTATCGTACTTATATAACAGTGTACATTTGACATCCCATTAACATTTATCCTTTATGAAGATTACCAAAAAAAAATATGCAGATAGTCGGTACGTTCAAAAAAATCATCATTTTTTTTATTTTCTAAAAGCTTTTAGCCAAATGATCAGTTTTGTTCATAGTAAAAATTATTTTACACATTTTTGAAGGTAACAGGAACGAACAATGGCAGTAACAGGAAAGACAAGGAAGTAACAGTAAAGACAAAAAACTTCTGGTCACACAAATTAATAAAAAAACAACTTTTGGGGATTTCCCAGGGATACAAAACCAGACAAATAACAAAAACTGAATAAATTGTATTCCCTGTTTCTTCGCTTACCTTGAAGTAAGAGCAATACCTGGTTGGCCCGAAGTCATAAAAATGGGTAAAGATAAAGTGACATGTCATTTTGTGAGTTCAGTGCTTTTACGATTTTGCTCAGTATGTTGGTCGTTATCTCGTTATGTAAATCTCACCCTGAATATGCATTTAAATGTAAATGGACGCTTACCAATAACCAATCCGACCTTCCGTCATACAATCGTAGAGAAAGTATACATTATAGGAGTAAAAACCAAAACTAATTTCATCTTTTCAAACTTTAAAGTAAAACTTCTTAAAAGAACACAACACAAGATTTGAACAAAAAGTCATGAAGAACATTTTCGATTGTCAATGATTAATATTGTAGTCTTGACAAGGTTTTTGTCCATATTTCCGGTTCCACTTCATAATTACTGGAAGACCCTTTGATTTTCTTTGGCTTTGGAATAATGGCCAATATTCTTGAGTAGTTGTACCAGCACTTGTCTTTTACAGCTTTTGGCCAATAAAAGACATTCTGCTTTATATCTCTTTCAAGTCTTTGCATGCATACCACATATACATCTGAAGAATCTACGTCTTCCACATACCCTGGATATGGTGTGCTTTCAGAGTCTACAATGACGTACTTGTGAAGACAATTTTTAGCGTCATGGATGATTTCAACAGGCTCGTTTTTTTCCAATAAGGTCACAAAGTGGTTTAGAACCCAGTAGTTATTGTTCATATCGAGGCGAGTTGATGTCCACATAATATACAACGGTTTATCGGAATCTTTTTCCATTGGCTCTATTCTCCGATAAAGATCTTTCCGTACGTTAGGATTCCCTTTTTTGGGATACACTGACACTATTGGCCTTCTAATAACACTTGCCAGAGCAAAAATCTGCCATATGCCCATGTATGTTTTGGAATTTCTTATCTGCATTATTTCTCTCTCATATATATATTCAATTGATCTTTCCGTCAATACAACGCCATGGGTGTATTTATCAGAATACATTGCGAAACTTTTTAAGATGTTTTTATTCTGGTCATCGGTCCCAAAAGCATTTGACAAGTAGTTTTTATCCAGATAAAACTTTTTGTTTAGAGATAGTTCTTTTATGATATGAGCTCGGATTTCATCGGCATAAGAATCCTTTCCAAAAACAAAAACACTTCCGCATGCTGGAAGGCAGTTTCCATCAGCTCTGACCTGTACTGGAAATAGAGTTTTGTCGGTGCAGACGTCATCTGGGAATAGTTTCATGGATCTATTGTCAATACCAAAGTTATCTTTTTGAACAAACCGATCTTTCCCATGCAAAGTTTCTGTAATAGATTCCAAACAAGTAATTTGCAAATGTTTAAAAGATCCACATTGTTGCAATGTTTGCAAAAGACTTGAATTCTTGTTTTGACAGGTTTTGTCCTCTTCCATTTTTCTCTGTAATATAACATCTTTTATATAAGAATTCTTGATTTCCAAATTTATATCTTTAAAAGGTGTTGATGTAGATACCAGTGGTTCAGATTTGTTAATCAACTTTGCTTGATCTGTACCTCCACATGCAGAAAATTCAAACGAATCACAAAGATGGTCAGAGCAATGAACATCAATGCAGCTTATGCCTCTATACCTTAGCTTTCTCTCTGATTCGGTGAAGATTTGGTGTATTTTCATCGTACCTGGAATAGTTTTCAATGGTATAGGATTTCTTTTGTCTACTTCTAAAACGTCAGGCTCCTTAACTTCGTAAAGCTTGATTTTAGTACCAGTCTCAATCGTCTTGATAAATGCATCTGCTGTCAATATATCTGCTCCAAAGCTAACTTGTCTATCTGCTGATCGTTTAATAGTCTCCCCTATGCCATCTGGTATTCCCTTCCCATGTCCTGCTTCTTGGAATTTCCAGCAAGCACCAGTGAACCCAAGCTCAAATGGCATGGTTGAAAGAAGATAGAGATTAATTTTCTGTCTGTACTGACTTGTAGGTCCATCGCTGTAAAAATGCAAGTACTCTACAAATGGATACAGATCTTTGATTCATTCAAAATAGGGTCATGTCTGAGGGAATCTGACACTCCACAAAATGAACGGATAGTGTCCATATCTTTTGTAACATAGTAACCAGTATGAAGGGAAATTTGTGGTAATGATGCTCCAAAATGCATCGACTGAATTTCCTTTGACATCTTGCAAGAGTAGTTTTCTGAGAAGTCTACATGAATCAGACATTCAGTTTGACTTAAAGTTTCTTTGAGAGTTTTGTAATGTTTATACTGATTTTTGATATTGAACAGATGGCGACTGTACGAGGGTCTTAATAACTCATGAAGTTTTTCTGTTGCCTTTTCGATAGAAGCACTTTCTTTTTCCTTCACCGTGACGCTCAATTCTTTTTCGTCCCCACCTTTGAAGGTCTTTTTGATCTTTTTAGTTTGCCATTGAGACCAGGTTACTTCAACATTCTTGTCCTCTACTGTTAGTTTGACAGTCGATTGCTTTCAGTCTAGACAATTACCATACATATAATCAAGATTATCCATGGAACATACTGTTTCTTTTACTAAAGTTTGCAGTCTCAACAATTTTTGCTTTCTTAAGACAATCTGCAATCAATCCTACGTTGTCGCAACATTTACAAAGGCAAGTTTCTCTTTCTTTTTCTGTTGCTTTTCTAATCCAGTAAGGCTTTAGTTTCCAGAAAGTTATAAAGCCTATCTTATTGTTTTCTGCTTTAAATTTGACAAAAAGATTCGAAAGTGTGTCGTTCAGGAATCTAATTTGTTTTTTCATTTTGTTCACAGTTTTTGTCTTCTTTTTATCAGTGGTAATTCTGGAATTGTCATCTCTCTCGAAAAAGGCCTTTACTGTTCCTCTAATGTTGGCTGATATTGTTTGTTTTGACTTTCTTTTCCTTTTACTTTGGTTTGTCACCTGAATTTGGCTATGGGCAAACTTCGTCAGTTTATACTTTCGGAATAACTTGCCCCTGAGAATTTCCAAGATTGACTTCTTCATTGATCCATTTTTCTCACATCTGTTTTGCATTTCATTAATAAGAACATGATGAAAGTCTAAAGTTTGGACGGTCATAGGAAAATGAGGGTACATTGGATTGGGATAGAAATTTTGCAACATGCCACCTACGGACCCCTCAAAGAGCTGTTGCAAGCGTTCTCAACGTGTAAAGTAGTACACAAGAAGCAAGACAGTGATCACCATAAAGTTAAATCACAATAATACTGAATTCCGATGAAAATTCAAAATGGAAAGTACCTAATCAAATAGCAAAATGGCTATAGAAATGGTTGACAATTGACAAGCAACAGAAGAACACAAGAATCAAAGAAATGATCACCAAATAATATTACATGAGGTAACCAAAGCTTTAGAAGTGGTTAAAAAAAAGATAACAGATGAACACAAGAAGCAATACTAAAAATTGGCATTTAGTCTGTGCGTATTAAAAATGCCAATGCAAAAAGAGATGCTCTTTCCACGTGCTAACTTTCCTAGTCTAAGAACTGTAGTACCTCGTTCCAGCTTCTTCTCATTTATGGATCTTCAACCAGTTATTCAAATTGCTGATGAAGTTATCATTGATGAGGATGAAAAGTTGAGGTAGAGCCATTCATAGGAGAAAAGTTGTATCACTCATAGTCTTCATAGCAGCAGCCTATACGATGTGATAAAAGTGGAGACTAGAAGGATTTCAGGGAAAGATGTCTAATTTAGTTTTCACATTTAACTTTGCATCCTTTTTATACAGGATTCTTGTTGACTGGAAGTTCTTATCTTAACAAGTCAAAAACAAGAAATTTATTTTAATATGAATATATATATTATTTTTTTTAAATATTTCATAATAAAAAAACGAGTTATCATGTTACCAGACATTATCCTACTGTAATAGTTGACATATATAACGGAGTATTTGCCTCATCAAAGAACATTTATGGCCCCTTCAATCCTGGTCACGTGGCCGAAATAACTAGTAGCCTTTATGCTGGTATAATTTGAGAGGATAAAAAAATGTATAGAAGCTCAACAAATAGCGAAACGTGATCGCAACTATACCTTAAAGTGTCCACATGCTAGATAAAGTCATTATGCGATTAAGTAATGTAAAGAAATTTTAACTCCGTTTCATTAAAACAAATGGTGGAAGAAAAAAACTCACACAAGATCAAAGTCATATGTGCAACAACTACAAGCACAATCTGTTTTAGAATATGCCCCTTTCTTAGTCTTTTAAAGGATTTCACATTCAGTTTCTTATTATTTATTTTTATCTGTACATGCCGAAAGAAGGAGATAATGGTCAAAATCAAAGAGAACAAATGTAACATTTGATACCGTAAAAAGACTTCGGAAAAGAGAACATATCATAACAAAACAGCTATCACTTTTAACAAGAGCACAAGGACATGTTAGCATCGAAAATAAAGGATCTAAATGACAGTGAGGAAAACGGAAGTGAGAATGTTATACTTACACACGAAGACCCACAAAATGAAAGAAGAAAACTCATTAATTTATCTTTGCGTTACATAAAATATTCATTTGTTTCTTGGTTTTCAGAAAATTCATTTGTGGATGGTTCTGGATTTGGCACAGGATTAGATTTTGGACTCCTTCCTAATCCTGTGTAGCCATAGCGTTACTCGTGATACTTAAGGTAATGATGACACTAATGAGTACCACTGAAAACAAAAATCGTATTTTTTGTGAAGGCTCTCAAATGGATATTCTTAAAATATTAACGAAAAAATATGTTTCATGTTAATTTTGTTACTCTAATGAACGTAATTAGGCATTAAAACACTAATGTTTGTTTAACCAAAGTTCATTAATTTTATAAGGAATGTGTACTTCACGGTCATGTGATGTAAATCGTGTAGGTGGAATTAAGTCACAGCCCGTACACATTTAAAGATTTCTGTTTAATCTACGTGTTATTTCATAGAGTTAATCTAGTTTTTTTCACATAAATATGTTCATGCCTACTTGTTAGGTTAGCTTTAATTGTGTATATGAGCGGTTTGCATTTGACCGTGTTGATTACAAAAATGGATTCTGCATATAAAGAATGATTTTTCACAACGATAACACTATATTTGGCATCAAAATATCGTCCGATCGTATTTTATACACAAAATACATCATATTCTTGAAATAATTTTTTGGAAAACCGTAGATACTGCCTCTATGTTGAAAAACAACTAAATATTTGAAATTATGTTTTTTTTATTTATTGCAATGAATACTCTTATAATAATAATCTTAGGCAGATCGGGGGAAGGGGGGGGGGGGGGGGCTTATGTGGGAAAAATTTGGTTGGTTATATAGAAAATCACTAGAATAGGCCCCCCTCTCCCCTCTTATAAAAAGTTCTGGATCAGCCAATGATAATAACTTTACATTTACATTCTGAACAGCTAACTAAAGCATCACCTGAATTAGAAAAGATTCCCCCAGAAAAGGATTTATAAACACATGAACAACATATTCATTTTCCAATGATTGATTGATTGTTGGTTGCTTAACGTCCAGTGGCAAATATTTCATGCATGTTCAGGACGAGAACAAGTTCACAATAAATACAATAGGTAGGTTCTGTAATAGATTAAGGGATTAAGGTCGGAGAAATTTAGACTGCCACGGGAAATGAGGGTATATTGGATAGGGACAGAAATTTAGCCTTGCAACAGGTCACCTACGGACCCCTCAAAGAGTTGTTGCAAGGGTTCTTAACGTGCAAAGAACGTGGCACTTTCTTTACACGAGGCATCGGATTTAACGTCCCCATTCTGACCGGACGTGGCTGCAAATTTGTACATCCCGCACAGCCAAACGGACGCCCCACTTTAGCACGGGTTTTACTGCCGGTCGGAGGAAGACCAATGGTGACCATACTTCTATTCCCCAGTCACCCTTGGGGGGCATTTTCCAATGACCATTTTATTTTAATGCCCTTTTCCGCATATAGAATAAATGCTATTGGAATGGATGGGACAGAGGTTGTTAAACCAATGAACAGCGAGATAGGGACAAAGTGCCGAGCTATAAAAGAAAATAGACAGTCAAAATAATTTGTTAAATGGATATACGTTGAATATTTAAGTTTCTTGTGAGATATACATGTGCAATTAGTATCATTAAAATGGATAATAATACATATCAAGCTTTTTGACCAACATGCCCAACAGGATGTTAGTTTGTGTACTTGTATATATATAGGACATTGCTTTTGCTAAGATTTGCTGCAACTAAATATAAAAGTTAAAAAAACAATAAACTTAATATGGCTATCAGAGGTTTGCCAGAAATTCATTGCAAATAATATGTGGCTATCAGAGGTTCGCCAGAAGTTCACCACAAACTATATATGGCTATCAGGGGTTCGCCAGAAGTTCACCACAAACTATATATGGCTATCACAGGTTCACAGGTTCGCCAGAAGTTCACCGCAAACTGCATCTGGGCAGTGGCTATTAGAGGTTCGCCAGAAGTTCACCGCAAACTATATATTGCAATCCAATGTTCGCCAGAAGTTCACCAAAAACCTGTTGATTGGTTGTAAAATTATGCCGAAAACCTCATTTGCATGGTAAAAAGTCGCGGCGAGGTTGCCGCAAACAGTTTGCAGCAGATCTGCCGCAGACGTTCGCCAGAAGCCAGATTTTTAGGTAAGGGATGTTTGAACACCCGATTATTGCTGATATTTTAAGATGCCAGCCTCACGGTTTCCCTTACGTGTATAATAAGTTAGTTAGACCAGACATTGCAAATGGCCTACGCAACAGAAAGTGGTTTCACATTGTCAATGAAAGGGTACAAAAATCACAGGAAACATGCCAGTTCTATTTGGGTAAGTCTAAATACTGCTCAGAACCGCCTGAGTGCACTCAGGATGGATGTATGTCCGTTACACGCTGCTTCATTCAGAGTTGGCTCTTTTGTTGTTAGTAACAGCAGCCATTACGAAAATTCCAAGTGCAAAATGCAACTCTGCTCATGCCAGTTACCATTTCTGTGAAGGTTCATTAAGTTAGGAACACTTTGATTGATTGATTGTTGGTTGCTTAACGTCCAGTGGCAAATATTTCATGTATATTCAGGACGAGAACAAGTTAACAATAAATACAATAGGTAGGTTCTGTAATAGGGGCTTCCGGGATTAAGGTCGGAGAAATTTAGACTGCCACGGGAAATGAGGGTATATTGGATAGGGACAGAAATTTAGCCTTGCAACAGGTCACCTACGGACCCCTCAAAGAGTTGTTGCAAGGGTTCTTAACGTGCAAAGAGCGTGGCACTCTCTCGACACGAGGCATCGGATTTAACGTCCCCATTCTGACCGGACGTGGCTGCAAATTTCTACATCCCGCACAGCCAAACGGACGCCCCACTTTAGCAAGGGTTTTACTGCCGGTCGGAGGAAGACCAATGGTGACCATACTTCTATTCCCCAGTCACCATTGGGGGCAGGAACACT